CCAGCTTCAACATTAAAATGCTTCTCACATATTTATGCATTAATAATAAGGATGACGTCATTATTACATATTTAAAACTGTACATAATGACCATTCTGATCATTACTTCATCTTTTGATCACTTATTTTTTTAAATGTAATGCAAAAAGATTTCTCAGGTCATGTTTGACGAAACCTGGAGTTAATCCATGTACAGTCACAAGATGAAGAAAACCAGCAGAATGTCACACATCAGAAGATGAAACTTGAGAATATTGGACTTGCTTGAAAAATGACAGGAACAAATAATCTATGATCCAAATGTGAAGTTCCAACTCCAGCAAAAATAAAATCACAAGCATGACAACAAGAAACAACGTGTCTGCTGCTTGTTTTCCTCAGGTGAACATTTATCACCATCGTTGGGTTTTGGGTGAAACACAGAACTGAGCTGCTACTTATTTTTTCAAGCTCTGAAATTAAAACTCGAGAGGATTAGAAACTTAGGAAATCAAAGTTCGTAGCTTCAGAACACAAAGTAGTGAAACTGTAAAACCTGACGCTGTCACGTTAGCCTCGTTAGTTTACGTTGTTTTCCAGCGGGTCTGTTAGCATCTCTCAGCTCGGTTGAAAAAAAGTTAAACTTCGGGGAGTGACAGTAAAGTTGACCACGTTGTGTTGTTGTCCTCCTCCGCAGCTCATCGCTGACTCACAACAACTTTCAGAAACGTGTGAAAGAAAGAAAAGCGTGAGAACACACCGCTAGCTAAAACAACAACCGTTAGTTAGCCTGGGTTAGCTTCCAAACTTTCTCCCATTGTCCGCCGCTGAAACGCGTCCCCTCGCCCCCCCCCCTCTTACCTGCTCTGGCTCGGCTCAGCGGCTCCACATGTTCTTCTCTGCGGCGACAAAACCTCCATCTTCTGGGTCTTTCACGCTAGGATCCGGCGACGAGACGGAGAGCTGGAGGGTCTCTAGAGGACCCGGGACACCGAGGAGTCTGGGAACATCTGAGCCGAATTACACTCGACCAGTGGCGGCTGCAATGGCGTCCCCCTTCCCCCCACCTCCTCCTCCTCCTCCTTCTCCTGCTCCCACCTCCTCCGGCTGACTCCTCCGGTGTGTGGGTGGTCCAGCGCCTCTTTAGCCTGTAGCTCAGATAATCTTATGTTTTTACATCTGCAGAACTTCAGAAGCGATTAAAACTTCTTCAGGGACATTTTAATTCACCCTGATGTTCAACGGGAAGTGTAGAAACAACACAAACACAATATAAACGTGTGTGTGTGTGTGTGTGTGTGTGTGTGTGTGTGTTTCAGATTTGTGAATGAAGACTCGTTTTTTTTTTCGGCCGGACCACCCACATGGATCAAAGCTTCCCGCACAAACGCGTCATCCTCCGTCAGCCAATGAGAAGCAGGGGAGCAGTACCGCTTCCGTCCATGTGGTGGCGCAGTCTGCCTGATGCTGCGTTCATGGTTCCACTGAGGCCGATGTTGTATTTATTAATTTAGCAGAGCTGCAGTAAATCCTCCGTATGTGAATGTTATGATTAGTATTTGTGTTTTATTGCATTGCTTGTGTTTTTCATAATCTTAAGGGATGAAACTCCGAGGCAGCAAAACAAATCCAGAGATTTACACCAAAAGAAATGACAAAAAGACATATTTAACCACAGAGTAGAGATATTTAACTTAAAACTAAATATTTATTTACTTCAATATTTCTACAATACCATGGTTTGTTTTAATTTTAAGACCATTTGCTAAGACATGTAAACATTTCACATTATAGCAATCAACAACAATAGGGTCATCACATGTGGTCCATGCTGCTGCTGCTGCGGATCATCTTTCACAAGCTAATATCAATTCCAATCTCAATTCATTTTGTTTCTAAAGTGCAAGAAAAAAGGGATTATTTGTTTAGTATTATCTGTTATTTATGTCGCCATTCAGGATTTTGCTCTTTCTTTTTGATTATCTTCACTATGTTGTAATTCTGTTCTTTTGTTTTCTTAATGGTTGTAAACCCATTTGTGCTGGGACACAATAATAAAATTAACTCAAAATCCAATCCATACACTGATTTTCTTACTGTAATAAACAATACTTTTATACTGGATCTAATCCTGGAAACGAGTCTGCAGTTACATAAAGTTTATAATTGTCATAAACTGGCTGAGATGTGTAAAAACAGCGGTGTTTGTGTGATCATGCTCGCCAACTGTACAAGTTGCTAATCTTTTCTCTTTCAGTAACACACATCGTAAAGATACATTTCCACTGGAAACTTAAAGTTTGCCACAAACATTGCTCTCAGTCACAGTAAATTTAGAATGTAAACAGAAAACCTTGCACAGAAACAGTCTACTATTGAAGAGCAAGACCAGGCAAACCATGCCATCTGTGCTCTAAATCAAAAATCCATCTCGTGTTAAGATGGGTCATCCAGCAGAGTCACCTGCAGTGTGACTGTAACACCACTTTAGGACCTGAGGTTAGAACTTCAGCATGGGGATCTGTGGAGTGTAGTCAGTCAGAAGAGAAACCATCAGACCCTGACAGAGAGGAGAAACATACAGATTAATACCCTGAACACAAGGGAGGCTGAAGACTGTGGGATCTAATCTAGGTTCCTGTTAAACCTGTGTTTCATCTCACCATGATTGTCCACTTCCTGTTCTCTGCCTCAGGGAAGACAAGGGAGCGGGAGGAGTAGAAAACCTCGTCATCCACCTCCTCCAGTTTACGGGGGAGACAGTGAAGGAAGGTCCAGTCTGGTTTGGCCACACTTCCTGTCTGAAATGACACAAAATACAAAGTTCTTAATGAAATAATCCCAATGAAGTATGTGTCATAACAAAGAAAGTGAACCAGTTTACATCCCTACACATGGTCTACTGAATCCTTTTGTTTTTTTATTCACAGAATATATTTTTTGTGCATTTTTACAGATAATATCACACAGGCAGTTTTGTTCATATAACAATCTACTGTACAAATATCTTTCTCAGTTTATAGAAGTGCATCTGATTTTAATTTGAACCTTGGTTCCTTGTTCGTATAAATAAAGTAACACAGTTAAATGCAGCTGGTTTGTTTAGTCAGTAGAACAGCTGTTCTTACAGGAGCCTGTTTAGGACAAAGTGGGTGTTTTTCAGTGTGTGTACAGTTGTGTGGGAACAGGCTCCTGCTAAGTTCACCTAAAGTGACAGGCATGTTGGTGGGTGGCCCCTTCTGCTGTCTGTACCAAACAAAGTCTGGAAAAGTCAAGATGTTGGATTCTTCCTCAAATATGAATAAAAACACGAAAACAGATTTTACCTTCATTGTAATCTGGTAACCTTCAAAGTCTCTGAGCCTCTTTTTTTTCTCCTCCTCCTGTCCCATGCTGACCCAGGTGTCAGTCACCAAAACATTGCTGCCGTGTGCGGCCTCCATCGGGTCAGAGGTCAAAACAAGCTGCGTCCCGTGCTGTGAGAAAAATAAAATATCATGCTCATCTAAAATGTTATTAGACATCAGGTATGTTTATAATAATGACGCCTAATGACGAGCTCACCTCTTTGCAGAGTCTCTGTGCCTCTTGAATAACGCTCCTCTCTGGCTCATACCCCTGTTAATAAAGATACAGTTTTAGGTGAACTGTGATGTAAATTACAATCCATTTGTTCCTCAAGCATTTCCTCTCTCAAGACTATGCGGATATAGTTTTTATTGCCAAAAGCTCAGAAAAGAGCAGACAACAAAGATCCAGGGAGAAAAATTGAAGACAAACCAAACCCTTTCTCTCAATCATCCAAGAGATGCTGACAGTTTTCTGCATGCCTCTATACCTGCAAACTACGAAACAACAATCTGCAAATGAAAATGATAAAAGTGGACTCGAAGACAAGAGAAATGCTTGTGACGGTGGATAACGAGACCAACCTTTGGTGTAGCAATCTTGAGATGAACGCCCAGTTTGGCTGCAGTCATCATGAAGGAGTGGAGGACATTGTTGCCGTCTCCAATCCAGCTCACCGTTAATCCACTGAGCGACCCATAATGCTCCTGTAACAGGGAGGTCATTTAAAAAACACGACATCATTATGATATATTGGGTTTTTTAAGTTGAGTAAACTGAAGAGTCGAGGTACCTGTAAAGTGAGGAAGTCGGCCAGGATTTGGATTGGGTGGTAGAGGTCGGACAGACCGTTGATGATGGGGATGGAGCCATTCTTAACCAGCTCCTCTAACATGGAGTGACTGTACACTCGGGCCAAGACAATGTCACAGAATCCTGAGAGAACCCTGAGGAGGAAGATGAAACATTAAATATGGGGCTTTTGGTTTGACTTTGTTTAAAGTTGCACACAAATAAAATGTTTGTTAAAATACAAACAAAGACGATTAAAAGTGTTTCTATGAACAGTACATTACACAGATGCTGCTATAAGAAGACTCACCTGGCTGTGTCTGCACAGCTCTCATTCACTCCCAGGTGGATGTCCTGAGAGGTGAGGAAACAGGGGTGTCCACCCAGCAGAGCAAAACCTGCAATTATGATATTTAGACAACTTATTTTCAAGTGTGTGTAGATGTGATCCAGGTATTTTTCATGTTCATGTCAGGGACATAAATCTGTTCACATTATGAAGACTGGAGACGAAACCCAAGTCCCCATAATGTAAATCATTACATTTTAATGTGAAGACATGTTTTTAAGTTTAGGTATAGGTTAAGTTTAAGTTGAGGTTAGGGAAGTATGGTTAAGATAAGAGTCAATGTAATGTTCCCTGAAGTCATGGATACACAACTGTGTGTGTGTGTGTGCGTGCGTGCGTGCGTGTGTGTGTGTGTGTGTGTGTGTTACTGCTGCACAGAAGCTTTGTTACAGGGATGCACTAAAAGTCGTCCTTTCAGCAGTTCTTTTGTGTCCATACAACAATAACTTTGAGGAACGCTATCAGCCCAGCTAACAGTGTGAAGTCACATTCTTCTACGAGTGTTCACACAAATGTAATATAATAATAAGATATTTGTATGAACATGAAAACTGTCCAGTGCATTTACACATCTTTACCCACAATGACCCACCTCCACTATCATTCATGTGAAAGTCTAACCGAGCCTCACAGCACACACCGGAGCAGCTAACAGCACCACACCTGTTTCTGTGGACATTCTTGTTCTGGTGCTCCTCTTCTCAAATATCATGGCAATGGACTTTCCTTGCAGAAGAGGAAGATACTGAAATAGAAATGATATTTTGTTACAGGCTGCACAGTGAAACACTCAAAGCAAATGGATATTGAATACACAGCATTAGTTACGAGAGCAACGTGCCTGTTTCTCATGTTTGATCCTGTGTTTCAAATCTCCTGACACCCACAACAGCCTCTTGATCTCATCTGAGCTGAAATCTCTCAGTGTGAGACAACTGCGACCTTTTAAACTCTCCGGGGCGAAGGAAGCAGCTCCGCAGCTACATGAAACAAATGAAATCAGAATGCATGAAACTGTCTCTGCACTATAACACTTTAATTGCAGAACAACCTGAAAAGCAATAAGTTCCAAACAACTCATGTGGAGCTTCTTACCTAAACCCTCGTGCAGAGCGGCTGTGCAAAGTTTTCAGACTTTTGAAAACCGAGCTGTTGACAGGAAATAGTTTCACAAACATCGCAGCTCAGAAAATTAATCCAGTGGAAGAACATACGTTGATTCAAAGTTTCATCAGCTATGGATCAGCTTTGATTCACTGCCTCTCAGCCACGTGCAGCCGGAGAGCCAACCGACAGCCTGGCTGCTGGTGACGTCAGCGCAGGGGGAGGCGGGGCTTCGAGCAGCAACAGATAAATATCACTGCTTCACTTCACTGGATGATGTCATAACATGAAGAACCAAAGCCTGCAGAGAAGATACCTCTACATTTTATACATCATACGTGCAGGAGTTGTACATGTGAACTTCCAATCCCACAGACTTCTTCAGTTCTAAGTTATTATCACAGATGATCAGTGTTTGTATTTCCTCTGTGTGCACATGGTCACACAGAACAAGACGTCATTTTTTTTAGAGTTCTTGCAACGCAATCAAATTCTTCCCAGTTTGAATCAAGGTAGGCTATTTAACAAACCAAAGCAGACTTTCTCAATAAACAAACACTGTTTCATTTTCAAAAAATGGAAAACATAGTGAGCACATGCATTTTTGAAAATGAAACAGTGTTTGTTTATTGAGAAAGGTTGTTTGTCTCCTTTTCTCATAAAACAAGGCCAATGTTTTTTAGCCATGTCAGAATGAGGACATTCAAAATATGCATCCATCTATTATCCTGGATTTCCTGAGAACTAATGTGTTGAAAAAAGTCTTTGAGTAGATCTTTTTTTAATTCCTGTTACTTTGTTTTTTCACTCTACACCAAACACAAAATGTTAGTCTGCTCTTTACATTAATAATCAAAAATATAACTGCCCATGACTTCTTCTCTGGCTAAAACCAGGATGATCTTCCTGGTCCTGCCCCTCCCTGACCTCTCCTTCATCTGCTTGCCTGAGCACAGAGCTACATGTGACATGTGAGGGGGGGCAGTGGAGGAGATGACTGGACAGACTGATGCAGACATACCTGGTGAGACTATTCTCTACATATATGATCTCCGTATGGTTCTATTTACCTTGAATTACTGTTAACGTGTGTTTGTGTTGTAAAAACCTGTTGCTATTTCTGTCAGGCTGCCTCTTTAAAGAGATGAGATGTGACAGCAGGCTGGGCCGGGATTTAGCCGGTGTTAGAGAGCAGTCAGTCAGACGGTGCTGCCTTCAGGGCCTGTGCAGTGCAGGATTCCTGTCTGACAATGATGAACCCCTGTCATCAAAACAGTGCAACCAGCTCTGTGAAGTTCAGCAAATGTGCATTGCTGTGTGTGTGTGTGTGTGTGNTGTGTGTGTGTGTGTGTGTGTGTGTGTGTGTGTGTGTGTGTGTGCATCCTGAAGAAACAGGAGCCATCTTCACATTTGGAAAGAGCAGCTTTGCAGACAGTATATTCTGGTTAAAGAATGACCATCCAGTGCATATGTCTGGGGGTGGGGAGCACACGGCTGTCATCACAGGTACAAAGTACTTCTTTAAATAAATACAAACCATGCTTCCTTGTGGATAAAGAGTCATTTTCTGCAGCCAAGTCAAACTTTCATGTCTCTTGTGATTGTGCAGACAGTGGGAGGATCCTCATGTTTGGTGCCAACACCTGCGGCCAACTGGGGCTGGGAGTTAAACCTGCCTCCAGCAAACCTGCCTCTGTGAGAGGTGCGTTACTTCACATTAGGAGTGTAACTACAATAAGCTGAATTATTTCCTGATTAATTCCTTAATCAACATTGAAAAGACCCGAGGTGACAACTCTGAATCACTTAACAGTCCACAACGTATGACAAAGAAAATCAGCAAAACCTCACAAATGACTTGTTGAAATGAACGATTATTTGAATATTAGCTTATAGGTATGTTTAAAGCAATAATTCAATATTGTTTTTGATTAATTTTGTCATCTTACTAACAAATTACTTACATTTTTAACTCCAATCTCTTCCTTTTTAGCCTTAAAGTCTGAGACGGTGAAGCTTGTAGCTTGTGGGAGAGATCACACAATTGTCTGCACATGTAAGATCAATAATGACCAAATGGTGAATAGTTTGTGCTCGGTGGTTGTTCTCGTGTTGAACGAGGTTGTGCATGTTTTCAGTGCAGGGTTGTGTGTACGGTTCTGGCAGTAACCAGGAGGGCCAGCTCGGTTTGGGTCACTGCAGCAACACGACATCCTTCACCCTGCTGCCTTCCTTCTGTGACCATGCCCCTGTGAGGATGCTCTCTGCAGGGTGCAACACCTCAGCTGCCTTAACAGGTTTGAGGAATCTACGTAGCATGTCTCTGCTGCACATCGTCCAATCTGAGTGTGTGTGTGTGTGTCGTTGTCGTACAATGTTTCTGTGTGTTGGCAGAGGACGGGAGGCTGTTCATGTGGGGAGACAACTCCGTGGGTCAGATTGGTTTGGGGGACGTGGGATCAGCAGCAGAACCCAGAGAGGTGGATGTTGGAGAAGCGGTGGTGTGGGTCTCCTGTGGATACCACCACTCAGCATTTGTCACAGGTACAACACAAACACAGCACAAGACCCACTCCTCAATCATAAAACAATAGAGATTTAAATAGGCAGTTCATCTTAATAGTAAGTTTAAGACTTTTTGTGTCAGACACCTTGAACATGATTCCTCGTGTTGGGACTGTTGTGTTGGTTTCCAGTGGATGGAGGTCTTTACACGTTTGGTGAAAGTGCGAATGGACGTCTTGGTCTCCAGACAGAGCAGCTCGCCAATCACAGAGTCCCCCAGCGGGTGCAAGGAATTCTGGGTCGCGTCATCCAGGTGTCCTGTGGAGGGGAGCACACTGCAGCACTCACTGGTAGGTGTTAAAATCATTATTTTTAACGTACTCCTCTGTTTGAACTAAAACACAAACATTTCACCTCCAGGTCCTTTACTGACTGTAGTAAAGGTAATGATATCAGTGTAGAAATACTCCATTGTATGTTTTGAAAGTTTTATCCAAGTAAAAGTACATTATCAGTAAATTTGGATCAAAATCAATTATCAGATATATTTGAATTATTTTGTAGGGCAGTTCTATTTTGTCTCAAATAAGTGACAAAATCTTCCGGTTTATATTTAAATTATTTCAACCTGTGGCCGACAGAAGTGAAACTGTGTCATGGACATTTCAGAAATAACAAAAAATCTAAATCTAAGAAGTAACTCAATCACTCAGATAAATGTAGTGGTGTAAAAAATAACTATACTTCTTTGTGCAATGTAGTGGAGTATGAGTATCATATGATGGAAAGAAGCAAGTGAATAAAAGATAAAGATCAAATATTTACAGTTACTGAGCACCACTGGTGTTAACCGTATATAACCAGTATGGCCTGTTTGTCTGTGTCTCTGCCAGAGGAGAGCGTGTGCACGTTCGGCAGGGGTCAGTACGGTCAGCTGGGCCATGGAACGTTTCTGTTTGAGGTCGATTTTCCAAAACCACTGGAGCACTTTTCTACCAGCGGCATCAGACACATCTCTTGTGGAGGAAACCACACTGCTGTGATCACTGGTAAGATTGTTCTAGTCATCATCAGTAAAGCCTGTTCACCTTTGTGGTTGTCCATGCATGTTTTAAATACTTTACATTTTACTCAAGGCTTCAAAATAATGATTTTTTTGTACTTCAAACTATGAAAAACAGTAAATATTTTTAATCTGAGAAATAATCACTCTTTTCCATTTTTTGTAAATTTTTAGTTTTTTGACAAATGGATGAAACGTATTATTCCAACACAACAACAGTTACATGATGATAACATGAGGCAGCAGAGATTAAACACAACCTTTAAACCTTGTTCCATGTAATTTTCCCTCCTCTGCAGAAAACGGGCTGCTCTACACATTCGGTGACGGTCGTCATGGAAAACTGGGGTCAGGGGAGGAGAACTTCACAAACCAGTTCAGCCCAACACTTTGTTCACGTTTTCTCAAACACAACGTTCAGTTAGTAAGTGGATTGATTCATCTGTAGCTCCGAACTATGTTTTAGCCAAACAATTACCTGTGTCTGAAAGCAAATCAGTCTGAGTGGTTGTTAGGTTAGATTAGAGGACTTATACGGCACACGGTTATAAACTCCGTGTGTTTTCCTACGTTCAGGTGTCCTGCGGTTGTGACCACATGCTGGTGCTGGCTGCACCCAGACCACCAGAGAGCCAGGAGGTGGTGGTGCCAGAGAAGGATGTCGAGGTCAATGACAACTTGTTGCGTTCAGAAATGCTCCTGTTAGACACTTTGACAGATCCAACTCAACTGGTCCCAAAGTCGGCCTTCGCTGCTCGAGCTCGCCGCAGAGAAAAAGTGAGAACCTGCACTGATACTTCTAATTCTAACAGTAACGGTAACTGCTCATCGATTGACCTCAGACTTTGTGGATGTATCCCTAAAAATCTAAGGAAGCTTAGTTTCGACTGTAACATTTTTTAAATGAGAGGAAAAAATATGATATAACAAATACATTATTTATGCCTTAGTGGTTTCCCATCATTCTTTGGCTGATGTGATGATGAAAAAGATATTTAACTGTCTTTCATGTGGTATTAAAAATGAACAGTCCCTTGAGTCTCCTGCTCAAATCCTGGATTAAAAAAAAAAAAAGTTTTAACCTCAGATAATTGTAATCATTGTTTAAATCCAGTAGGGGACAGTGCTGCACCAACATGTGCCTCTACTGTAGTGCCACTAGTTTACCAGGTGGAGGAGCTCCATAGATTTAAATTCTGAGCTCAGTAATGATTATTTTTGCTGTTTCCCTCCTCTTGTGTTTCAGGAGAGCTCTGTGGATCTGTTTGGGGAAATGTTCCAGAACCTCCCACGTTTGAACTCTGACTTCCTCAATGCCTCCTGGCAAACTTCCAGAAACGTCTTAACCCCCAGAACACGTTCAAAGGACGTGACTGCCCCTTCGTCACCCCCCAAACCCCTGTCAGATGTAAAACCAAGCCCACCACTCTCACCAGCACCTCTGTCTGAATCCTCCAAGCCATCGAGTTCACATTCTCAATCATTGCTTCAGAGTAAATCCCATGGAGTCGCCTCATCAACGTCTGAACCCAGAGACTTTCACTCTTCCTTACTGTTGCCAAAGTCCATAACCAAACGTAACCCTAACGTCCCGTTCCCAAAGAGGATTGGAAGAAATAGAGTCCGACACATGTCGAGTGCTAAAAAGGTCTTAAACAGCAGGATGTCATCACACAGCACTCATGTTCCCACTACAGGTCTCAGAGAGAGTGAAGGCCTCGCCTCATCACAAACAGGTATATCACACCTGTGCTTGTTGGAGATCCATGTAAATCCAAAAAGGAATATTAGATATTACAGCTGTTAAACACATTCTTGTCTTCTTCTTTCAGAGGGAGAAAATGTTCAGAGACAAGTGATCAGTGAAGATTTGCAGAAGAGAAGAGAAGTCGACTCTGATATTTCGCCAGATACGGTGAGAGGGAGAAAATACAAATTGAATAAAACATATATATACAGTGTTAGAATATATAGCGTGGACTGCATAGCACTTAAGCCGTGCACAGGCAGAATGAATATTGCAGTTAGGAGAGTTAAACCAGAGTTAAAGTGCAGTTCATAATGATGTGTGTAGCACATTGTTCATAGTTGGACGTTACTTTCCTCTGTAGGCTTCTTGGTTGTGGTTTAAGTTGTGTGCACTCCAGGGCAGGAAGAGGCAATGTTGAACACTCACTGGGTTTTCCAAGAAATGTGCATAGCTCAGCAAACATGCTGCATGTGTGAGTGTGTGAGTGTGTGTGTTTGTGTGTGTGTGTGTCTCTGCAGGCTGTGTGTTTGCGTGGTTTAGTGTCTCAATTTTTCACATTCATTTCCATGAATCACTAACAATAGTTTGGATTGATTCTACTAATAAACAAATGTTGTTGGGCTACACACCCAGACACACACACACACACACACAATGCTTTGGAAGAGTTGGCAGGAACTTCACCACATCTCATCATTGTTTCCACTGCCAGGGATGAAGCAAGCTGTGGAGTAATGTATGAACATGTGGTGCTCAGTAACTCCTTCCTCTCTTGGCTGTAGTTTTAAAAAGTCCAGGGGTTTTATTAATAACTCGTACTCATACTCACGTGCTTCACATGAGGATAAAACAATAGAATTATGTACCAACTACAATGAAAACGTGACTCACATGATGGTATTTTCTTTTCTACTTATATAATTGGAAACCTGACACCATTCACACACACATTCATACAGTGCATCTATGGGCAGGAGCTTTTTACTATGAGCAGTAATTTGGGATTCAGTCTCTTGCCGAAGACTGGGATTGAACCGGCGACCTTCTTGTTAGAGAACCGCTCTGTCAAATATTTTAAATCTCTTTTAGCTCCGTTATTGGTCTCCACTGGCCACTGAGGGAAATAATTGTCTCTGTCGCTGCTATTCTCCACTTTATTCACCAGACAGTCTGTACCTGCATCTGTTTGGTGCTGAGCATTTAGTGCACAGTGGATTTTTTAGAGCTTTTTCAGCTTCAGTGGCGGCTGGAAACGATATAGAGCGAGGTTATCAGAGTGACTGAGGCATTCTGCCAGCTCCAGCCATAGACTGCAGATACAAAGGCTCCATCCATCTGGCCATGCTGGAGGACTTTTTGGTTTATCACACCTTTGTGAGTATTAACTCTCAAGACTTTGTGAGTGGTAGTTTCACAAACACTCAACCTTCCCTGTCTGGCCCACACAATCCTTCCAGATCATATTTTCTTTTCACCTGTTCTGATTAATGGTTTGAACTTTGAACAGGAGCTCTTGACCTGTAACTGCACGAGGAGAGGGATCATACTGCTGCCACATGATTGGCTGATTAAATAAGAATAGGAAAGTCTACATATGAAGTGTTCAGGGAGTATAAAGCTCTGTAAAGCCAAGAGGGATTCAGCTGATATGTTACATTGAGTGACTCCTTTTACATTGTCACATTGTTTCCATGTTGTCATGACACATTATTATTAATATTTTAAAACAAGTGAAAAAAATGCATAAGGTATTTTTCATTACATTAAAATGTTAGGGACTTAGTTTAGTACTTTTAGTGATTAAATAGGTTTAAAATTGCATCATATTTTAAAAACTGCTCCTATGTTTTGAATGTTAAATTGTAATTTGCAAGTAATTTAAAGTGTCAAAAAAATTTTGGGAGTCTAAAGTTGATATTACCCTCAGAAATGTAGTGAAGTGTCATATTTATAAAGTTGCATCCATTTGAAATGCTGAAATAAAAGAAACTCAATATTATATACAGTAGTACTTCAGTGAGTGTACCTCTCTTTTGCTCTTGTGTGTAAGCCTTGGTGTGTGACACAGAAATAATCTAGCGAGGTACAAATGATAATTATATGAAAGAGTGTTCATGAGTTATTGAAGTTCCAAACAACTTATGGTGCTTGAGAAGCTGCTGCGACTGATTACACATCACCTCACTGACCCCAAATCAACCACCATCTGTTGATCTCCACTATAAATGGAAAAAATAAGGAGTCCTCTAGTTTTCTCCACCGTTACCATGGTTTCCTCTCATGCCCACATCTGTGTTCAAACCTGGCGACAGATTAGTTGATGACTGATTTGTTATGTGTGCCCACCGTGAACATATGTCCTGGGATATTCTGGGTACGATAATTGAAATCTACATAAAAGGTCATGATTTCCCTCCAACTTTTTAGACCACCTCCTTTACAATTATACTGAACAGTTAATCTCAAAATACAAAATAATGTATTTTTGTGTTGTTGCTGACATGATGATGTATATTCACTGTTATACTAAAAATATTTTTTTTTTAAATAATGTTAATGAATAACATCCATGTCTGAAATGATACAGTCAGATGGAATTTGGCAGTAAAATGTCATAATAACATGTGCAGTCACATTGATTACAGGTCTGTTCTGTGCTTCTACAACTTGTTTTTTTAAGTCAGCATATGACCTTTTTCTTCTTGTTTTATTTTTAATTTCACATTTTACCAAATCTCTGCTTTCTCTTCGATTTATTTCAGGAAAAGAAAAAGGGCCGAGCTCTCAGAAGAACAACAAAAGACGACGCTGCGTTTTCTGAGCAGCTCCAGTCCGAAGGGAAAACAGACCAAATTTCTCACAGGGCCTTCCCCGCTGAGCTTCTGAAAGGCTTCAGCTCTTTAAAGAAAGACGACTCTGCAACAAAGAAAAAGAACCACAAAGTCACATCCAAAGGAAAAGAGAACATCACAAAGCAGCCCAATAAAATAAAAAATCAAGACGAGGAAAAGGCACTAAAGGAGCTCTACCATGTTAAATCCACAAAACACAGTAAGAACAATTCATCTGAGTTAAATAAAAAAACTCCACAATCTATTCATCTGACTAAAGTACGTCAGAGAGCAACTGAAATTAAGGAAAGTGGCAGGAAAAGTAGAAATCTGCAAGAAGTCCACATTAACCAGGGGGATGTGACAGAATTGATAGGGACACCAAAACAAGAGGAAGCTCAATCGTCAGCTTTGGACAAGACGTCTCCTGTTATCAAGGCCAGAGAAGGACATGAAACAAACAGCATGTCCTTCCAAAGAGGAAGTTCAAATATCAGGGGAAATACTGCAGAGGAAGACGTCAAACGAGCACAAATCAAAAGAACAGACATCAAACCGACCCCAACGAGAGATGTGCACAAGGTTAAATCTGCAGCAGGAAAAGGTCAAAGTAAAAAACTGTCACCAGTGAAAAAAGGAAATGTAGCTGTCACCACCCCTGAGAAAGCGCGTGTGACGTCTACACCTGTGAAAGTCAAAGAGAAGCAACAACCGCTCAAGAGTAAACATGTCGAAAATAATGCAGTTCAAAGTGGAAGTGAAGGACCCGGTGCAGAAAGATCTATCAATAGCACGGATCGGAGAATAAAAGGTAAACCCGCAGACGAGCAGAAGTTACCTGATAAAAAGGAAGAAAAGGAAAAGACTGGGTTGGATGAAGGAGAGGAAATCAAGGATAAAGGTGAAGCAGACACTAAGGATAATACAGGGGCCAAATTCCAGCAGGCCTCTGAACCTGCTGATAGAGATCTGCTCGTTTCACAGAGAGAAAACAAGGAATCGGAGGATGAAGCAATGTTGGCACAAATTCTGAATAATGCAGCCGCTGTTCTTCCGGCTGTTGGGATGGTAGGTGCAGCGGTGGAGGTCCTAGGTGAGGCAGTGACAAGGCTACAGGCCGACAGCGACACGGCCGTCTCTACACCGACCAGGGTGTCCAATAGAGGGAAACAGTTCACAAAGCAAAGTGCGATTAGGCAGCTTTCCTTCGCCTCGACATTGTCTTCAACAGAATCGTCACATCAAGAAGACGAAAACACAAAGAAACACGCTGAAGTCAGTGTCCCGTTTAAACCTCGGAATAGAGTTCATGAAGATGATCGTGATCCGTCTGAGCATGAGGAGGTGAAAAGTGACACGTCCAAGCAGACAAAGGTTGAAGACTTCTCACAAACAGAGGAGAACAAGAACAGAAGTACACAACTCAATACTTCCCAGCAAGACCATGAAGAGGGGGAGGATGAAGATCAGGAAACCTCCAAGGTCTCCAGAGAAGATGTAGGAGAAGAGGATGAGAGTAAAAAGGGTGAAGACAGAGATACTGAAGATGAGAAGGGAGAGGGAGAGAGTGTAAGCAATGTGGAAAACAAAGAGGAAGAAGAGGAGGAGGATGGAGGAAAAAGCAGCAGTGACAAAGAGGATGAAGCAGAGAGTGTTTCTGGAGAGGGTGAGCCAGAGGGAGATGGTGAATCTGAGGAAGAAGAGGCTGAGGAGGAAACAAACTCTAGCAGTGAGGAAGAGGATAAAGGAAGTGAGATGAACAATAGAACAGAGATTGAAGAGGAGGAAGAAGGAGAAGAGGAAGAAAGCAGTGAAGAGATGGGTGAGGGAGGGAGTGAGTGCGAAGCAGATGAAGAGGAGGAGGAAGGAAGTGAAGAGTGCAGTAAAGAAGAGCGTGAAGAGGAAGAGGATGAAAGTGAGGTGATTGAGGATGAAGAAGATGAAAGTGGTGAAGAGTTGGGGAGCACAACAGGCAGCAAGAGTGAAGAGGAAGAAGAGGAGGAGGAGGAGAGAGAGGGAAGTGACACTGCAGAGTCTGGAGGAAGTGATGAAGTGGAAGATGAAGAAGAAGAGAATGAGGTAGAGGAAGAGGGTGAAACTGAGGAGCAAAAAGACGATCAAGATTCCACTGAAAGTGAGGATGAGGAGAGAGACTCAGAAGATGAAGAGTCAGATGAGAGCGAAGGAGAGGAGGAAAATGATGAGACCCAGGATGAAGTGAGTGTTGAGATTGGAGAGGAGGAAGAAGAGGACAACGGGGGTGATGAAGAGGAGGAGGAGCAAGATAAAAAAAGGGAAAAAGAAGATGAGGAGTGTGAGGAAGAGGAGTTGTCAGATGAGGGGGAAAGTGAAAGAGAGGAGGAAAGAGAGGATGTTACAGTGGATGAAGAAGAAGAGGGCGAGGAAGAGGTTGCAGAGGGGGAAGATGAAGGGGAGGAGGAGAAAATAAAGAAAAAAGAGAAAAGTATGGAGGGTAACAAAAAGGCTAGGGCAGAGACTGAGGAAGAGGAGGAGGAAGGGGATGATGAAGAGGATGGTGAGGAAGAAGAGAATAAAACAAAGGTTAATCCGACAACAGAGGTGAGAATTAAAAATCTGAGACAGGAACAATGTGAACAAAAGAAAGATCATGAAACTCAGGAAAAAGAGGATGAGGAAGATATCGATGAAGGGGGAGAAGAAGCGGGTGAGGAAGAACAGGAGGAAAAAAAAGAGTGTCTGGGAAGAGGAAAGGTTGCTAAAGCGGCTGAGGACAAACATGAGAGTGAGGAGGAGGAAGGAGAAGATGAGGAGGAAGAGGAAGAAGAGGAAGAAGAGGAAGAAGGAAAAGAAGAAGGAGAGGAGGAGGAACAGGAGGGTAGGGAAAGAGGCAGGGTTGCAAAGGCAGCTGAGGACGAACATGAGAGTGAGGAGGATGAAGAAGAGATGGAAGAAGAACATGAGGAGGAAGGGGAAGAAGAGGAGGAAGGGGAAGAAGAAGAGGAAGGAAAAGAAGAAGGAGAGGAGGAGGAGG